GTACATTTTCATGTACGTGGCATTGCACAGATGTAGGATACCGAAGTACTTTTTCACTGCACAGTGCCCCAGCATTCACAAATACTGCAGTACCCTGGAGTACTGGGATTGCCCCTTCACCTGGTACAGTGAGGGGCTGAGGAAAGCAGAAGCCACAAAGGCCAGTTCAGAAGATGTTATGGGAAACTGTTAGAATGCAGAAGATGTCTCCTAGAAACCACATTGTCATTGACATGCAGCAGGACCCTGGAAAAAGTGACCAAACCCTAAGGGATTAGAGAAAACATACAGCATGGTTGCCCACAAGTTCTGATGCTGACATAGAAGTTTTCTTAGTCATTTTTATTTACTGTTTCTCAAAAGTCACAATTCTGCCTATGCTACCGTGGAAATAGATCCCAGATACCTTTGTTCTTTAAATTAAAACTGAAATCGACTCAGCTTGAATATCTGAGGAAATTTTGGAGATTCCATGAGTTTGTGTGTGGTATCATATTCAAGATGATTGCCTTCATATATTCTGTTAGGTGCACATGGAAGTAACGAATGACTTAATCTTCTTGATAAACCAATGTTTGTAATGTTGAATAAGCAAACTTTTTGTAATCACTGGAGAACCCACTTTTTGGATCCATCCTTGAGGTCAATCCCTGTGCCTTGGACCTGACAAGAAGTTTTCCAAGCTATATCAGAAAGTGTTGTCGTTTGACTCCCAGTTCAGAGACTGCAACCTTTCTCAGTAATGTTTTTTCATGGATCTTCTCTCTAGATAGGCATTAAGTGAAGTTTTCACACACATGTTGTTTGGTAAGGGTACTGATTCTCACCTTTTGTCTGATTCAAAGAGGTTTGCCTGGCTAACATGATTCTGGTACCAGTGTATCTGTCAGACAGGAACATGAAACTTCTCTCCTCATCCCATTTATCTTTTTGGAATTGTTATTATGGTGTTATAGGATAGATTCATCCCTAACATTTTTCTTTCCCTCTCAGAGTGCTTAATGAATCATTCTCATTGTGAAGGGAAGTGCAAAGAACTATCAGTAGAGCTTCCTTGAACCTTTACTAGCAAAACAGACAAGATTTTCTACAGAGTGGTTATTTTTTTTTTTTTCACCTGTGTTCTTCACAGATAAAACCTCAGACTCAGCTTGGAATCCAGGTGCAATTTCTATGGCTGATGTGCACTTAGATAAACGTTGATTGCAAGATTCTTTTCCTTAGAGCAGTCTAAGCAAATCTGAATTTCTTTATGTTTAATAACTCTGAATTGCTTAGCAAGGCTTTGGTGCTAATGGCTGGCTAGATATCTCTTGTGGAGTTTTTGTTTTCCCACCGATTTTCCACTGATTTTCTGACATCTGACTTTGTTTAAATTTGCTAGAAGTTTGGTGAACCATAAGCTTCATCAGTCAAAACACAGAACCCAGGAAAAAGAATATTCATTGCTCCACCAGACACCAACATCATCTACATGACTTCCTCAATTAACATATGTAATTTTTCTGCAAGCTCTTTAAAGCATCTGAATCTTTTCTAGGTAAATCAGCTGCTTATACTGGTAAGCTAAGATTAAGGTTTACCTGAGTAATCTTCTGAGACTTTCGAGAATATATTTTGTTCTCCATCTTTGGCTTCTAGCAATACAAGAAATCAGTGGCAGTTCCTGTCAGGCCCCTGACAGTGACTTGTCTTTAAAAAAATACCTTTTTTTCCCCTAGGTCTTTGTTTACTGAAGGCTCCGTGAACTATTTTAAACAATGTTTTAAAAATCAAAATTGTAGCAAACTACTAGTAATTGGGCAAAGCTTTAAAGAATAAAACTCTAGAAGATGAGCCTTCAAAGCAGCAACAGGTTGTTGACATTACTAACCTTGTGAAGAAACCTCGGTTTTGAACAAGTCAATTTTCTCATGCCTTTATATGGTGATATGATTTGTAAGATAATACTTACCAAACAGATACTTTGATTTCTAGTTTCTAATTTGATGTCCCTGTGTGTACTATCTTGAATATCTTTGAACACTTTCCATTGGATATCTCTCAGGTACATCTAACTCTTCGTTGGTTGGTGCCTAGGGCTCAAAATTGTTTTACAGTAGGCTAGACACACTGTCCTGCTTGTAATTAGGAGCCTGTTTCTCACATTTCAGAAATCAGTAATGTGTGTAGCTGAAACACTAGTTTTTGCAGTGCTTCTCTTTTTATAGGCATGCTAGTACTACAGGGTTATTTTTCACTGGCTTTTGACAACTCTGCCAAATGAACCTTCTGCAAATATGTCTGTTTTTTGAGTGAAATTGTTCTTAGTTCAATAGAGTGATATGTTGGCACTTCTCACAGCTGTCTTTTTACTCATGCCTCTCTTCCCTCATTTTCCCAGGATTAGAACTGAAGTTTCTGTGTTTCTGGGAGTTTGTGTTTGCTTTGGACCATGTTTCTTGTCCTTGGAGTAAGTGTCGATCGTGTGGCTCAAGGAGATAGACTACATTCTAAAGAACTACCAAGAACTGATACCTGTGTGCTCTGTATGGGAGGATGTGGTTGCTCTGATTTTTCATTCTTGATGATGCCCTCACTCAAGCTGTTATTTATTCTTTCTGTTCTTTATTTTCCTTCTTGGGACTGATAAAATCTAACAGTTCTAGGAGGCTCCATCTAAGAGCATAATTAAACCATTCTGATAGTTCCTTGCGTCTCTTGTTCTAGCTAAAGAGTGACTGAGATGAAGGATTAGTGTTACTTTGGTAGGTGGCAAATAAAGTAAGACTTAGAAGCCAAATGCAGTACAGAGCTTGTGAATTCTTAAGTTAACAAGTAAGGACTTTCACTTACTTGTTAAAGTAAGTTAACTTTACTTGCAGCATCACTTTTTCTTTCTTCTTCCATTTCAGTGTTTGCTATGAGAATAGACACTTGAACAAACCAGCCAAACACAGAAAAGCATTTTTGCTCTTGAGGGTACACAGTGAAATAGTCTTTGTGAAGTTTCTATATCTTTATTTTTTAAAAATTACATTTCTTACTCTAAATGTTGTGATAGGTACACTCTTCACTGTTTCCTTTATTCTTTTCTTCAACCTTAAAATTTTCAGGCTGACTTTTAAAATGTTATTAGCAAAGAAATTAACTCCACATCAGTTATATTTATTGTTCACTTACTACTTTTACTGAGCTGTCAATATTCTTGTGTAAAACTATCTTATTGACAGATATTGACCTCTCAGAGGATGCTTAGGAGTCCTTCCAAACTGAAGCAGGAGGTAGTTTGTTAATTCCCCACTAAGGGCAAAGGGGAGTAGGAGCTGATGTTTGGAAGGCATAATACTGTTAAGAGTCTAAATCAAGCTCTTTTTGAGAATAATCTTAGCAGTATGGAAGTATAGTGGGAGTGTTTGTGCAGGATTTGTGGATTTTTTTTTTTTCTTATTAAATATGTTAAGCAGACAAAACCTCTTGGGAAGAGGCAAAGCTTAAGCCTTTTGACAGACCTTACTGTGGAGTAGGTTTGGTAAGCTCTGTGCAGTTGCTGCTTTTCTCTTTAGTAGGCCTTCCATGGACATCCGTTTCAAAAGACTTTCCTTTTGTATGTGTGTGATTATACAAACAATGTTTAAATTTATTGCCAAGAGCTCTTATTTGAACATCTGCTAATGTTTCTCTCCCTTCTTTCTAATGTTTAGAATCAAGATGCAGCCTACATGCATGCTGCTATGTTTTACTTTTCCAAAATCGAATACTTTGATTGTATTTATGTAACCTTAAATGTGCGTATGTTAAATTACTTTTTAATATTAATTCCTTTTTCTTGATCTCTCTGATTTAATTTAAAGCCAAGAGACGTTTTGGAATGAATATTTCTTTTCAATGAGTGCAGTTATCGGTCAAAGTGAAAACATTTTATTGATAGAAAGCAGTGTAGTTCAAATTGCATGTGAATTTCCATTATAACAGATCTTTAGTTACTGCTCTTGGTAAACAAATTTTTCCAGATGAAATTCTGTGTCCAGGCCTTTATCTGGACATATGTATCTGGTAATTGCTTTTGTGTTTATTGTAACTTGGAAGATTTTTTTTTCAGCTTGGACCACTTTTAAAAATAGTTGAGTAGAAAAAAAATAGACGACTACTTGAAATTTTTGTAGGCAATCCAAATTTCCAAGAAGATTCTTAGCATAGTCATCTGCAGTTTTGTGCTTTTCCAAATGTTATAAGAATGGATACAAAAGAGGTAACTCTTGGATTCAGATGATCCCTTTTTGCATAAACTATGCCTGTATTTACAGGTGTTCTTCTGTGTAATGAAATGCAGTAACTGGTAAAGTAGTCTGGATATTTGTTCAAAGAGATCATGTGCATCCAGATAGTTGCCAGACAAAACCATAAAAGAATAATTACAGGTCTAGGAACACAGAAGTATAAAGAAAAAAAATTAGATTAGTGCTCTAAAATATTACAGAGTTTATAGATTTTTGTTGTAGAGAAACTATGATTAGTCTAGGCTGCAAAGCAATCTGTTCTGGGCATCTTAATTGGAAATAAGGTGCAAAAGCCAACATTTTTTAGGAATTCTGTGTCTTCCCTGTGCTTCATCTGTCTCACCACTGGAATTGTAGATACTGTGTTGATACCCCATTGTATTTTGCAACGTACAGGGTGTGATTCTGTTGCCTCAGGTGACAACCTTGGTGAAAAAGCAAGTGGTAAGGGAATAGGTAGAATATTTAACCTGGTCTTTCTACTTTCTAACTCCAGCTGCAGTTTTCTCGGTTGTAAAAACAAAAAGCTGCAATAACATAGTGCCACTAATTTAATATCCCAGATAAGTAAGAATTGTTTTTAGATGTATTTCTTGGTATGAGTTCTCACAGTTCCAACATACAGTTAGCTCAGATACATCAAGTTGATGTATGGAGTCCTAATACACTGAATGAATGGAACAGTCTTTGTGTCATGTTTACCATCTCTCTGGACTTAAATTTCTTCAAAATGTACTTTAGGCAGCTACACTGAGAATAAAGAAACTGGAAGAAAACATTGAAGCAGAGAGAGCAGCACACGTGGAATCCAAATTCAATTCGGAGATCATCCAGGTAACTTTTTGTTAAACATTTTGTAGAAGTTTACAGTAAAACAGTTGAAGTTGTAAGATACAAGCTTTCAAAAATGTTGAGACCACTTACTTGCTTCAGTGAAAACACTGTATTTTTTTTTTGCAACAATTGTCAATATCGTAATAGCTAGTATATAAAAGGAGAGAATAGAAAAATACCTGCTCTTCCAGGAATGTTAATGGCATTGGAATAAATAATAAAATGTCACATTTTTAAGTTTGAGAATTCTCACTGGCATTTAAAGAGTGAGGGAGAAGGAAATGTTTCACAGTAGTTAAACACTATACCACTCTTTAAATACCCTGCCCTGTGTCTTTTGAATGGGCACTTGGAGCTGTTTGGAGATGCAGTGTGCACTTCCATCATCTCCATGAGTGAAAGCTTAATGCATCCATGACCCCGCAGTTCCAAATGCAATATTTAGGGTACATCTCAGCTTCAAACAGAGTTATGATGTCTGCAGTTATCAGTAAATATTGATTATATGAAAAAATGTAGTCTATGTACTTGAATATTAAATCTTTGTATTATTAAACTGTATTAAATGGTATTTGACCCAGTAAGGCAATCATGGTTTATTTTAAAAAGCAGTAAGAAAAAGCTAAATGACAATTGCTTAGTAACTTCATGGTAATTAACAAGCCCTTCACATTGGACTTTTGAAAAACTAAAGGGAAAGAAAAAAAGGATTTTTTGATTTTTTTTTTTTAGTATCTTCTGAGTAATGAAACTAAATATGATGTGGTTCAGTCAGTTATTTTCTTACTGTCTTTAGCTTCTCCATGTACAGGCACTTAATTTTTTTTAAAAAATGATGATTAAACTAGCAGAAACAAAAGATTTAGTTTTCATCATTTCCTCTCTTGACTTTTACAACATGCAAAGGAACTGGGAGGGTAATGTTCCTTAGAGTGAAGAGACTTATCTTTTATGGGTGAATGGGTGGTAGAGTTTTCTTCCTTGTTGATATTCATGAACAAGCTTTAAGTGTGCTTTTTGCTGAGTGGAAGTGTAGCCTTTACTGTTAATCCAGCACGTTCAGGGGTCTGATTAAAAAACAGAATTCCCCTGGAAAACATTGGGAATAACTGAAAAAGGAAAAATTCAGACACCACTAAAGGAGAATAAGAGGTGCTTTTGGCCAGCATATCTGTTTGTCTCTGTTTTGAACTGTATGTATTCATACATTTTTACATGTGCACAATGCTTTCTATATAGAATTAGTGGAATATGGTTACCTGCAAAGCAGAACAGAACAGTATATGAAGTTCATGATAGTTTTTTCCTCATTTGCTTCAATTGCTTTCTTATCACTTGGTAGTTAAGAGTTCGAGACCTTGAAGGAGCTTTGCAGGCGGAAAAAGACAGCCAAGCAGAAGCTCTTTTGGATTTAGAAATGATCAAGAAAGAGTTCAAAGAGGTAGAAAATGCATATGAGAGAGAAAAACACAACGCCCAAGAGAGCTTGGAAAAACTCAAAGTGTAAGTTACCTTTTAAATTAGTTGTAAAATGGCTGGACACAGCATGAGCAACACTTAATAGTTTATGTTCTTTGTAATTTTCTGTCACTAGAAGACAACACAGTCTGAGGCAATTTGCCAGACCAAGACAAGATTCAGAGCCTGGCATTCCATTAATAACAGGTCTATATCAATAACCATGCAGATGTTTCTAATTGTATTGTTTGATGTGAAATAAATATGAAGTTATGAATTCTGCATAAATGAATTATAGAAATACAATAGCAGATTTAAGTGCTGCACATGCACCAAAAAATGTAAACCACACATCACACAACCATATTATGTCCTGAAGGAAGTGTTAGTACTTTACACTGGGAGTTATGTGCCAGTAAAAACTGTTTGATTCTCAGGATTTCCAGTATGTTTGTCATTTTAATGCTTTTATCAGTCTACCTTTGGTTGTTCAACTTTCAGTACAACTCTTCTCTCAAGTACTCATCTCTATTTTAATAAATTCTTATTTTCATTATGCTATGAGATGCTTTATCTTAGATGTCTGTGTTCAATGATAATTTTCGGTACAAGATCCTCTCATGAAAATTTCTTGTGGCCCTACAGAAAAGTCATAAAATTTGAGTTCTTCACCTGCATTTTTTTAAAAACAATTTTGGTTGGTTGATTTCATCACACTAGATCCCAGTCCCCCAGAGTGGCCATGTATCCACACTTAAGTTTCCTTAATGGGCATAGTTTGTCAGAGCATTTCATTCTGTGAATTATATTAAGTTTCTCAGATGACCAAAGACTTATCTCAAGAAGCAGCCTTCAGGGAAGTACTACCTTCACAGAGAATGATGCTGTCCAGTTGTTACCATATGGAGCTCCACTGCCCCTTTAGGTGTTGAACTTGATCTCTTTCAATGACTCTATTTTTTCTAAGCACTTAGAAACTCCAAATGACAATCCACTAAGTTGGTGGAAGAGATGTGAGTCTTTAAGGCCTGAATTATTCTATTATTCATATAAATATGTTTTGAGACTCAAAGGGTGGTAATAGAGATAAAAATGGAAGGTAATCGGAAGCATTTTTGATAGTAGCTTAAACATTTGTTTAGGAATTTTCCAAACTGGTAGAACTTTTTAACCTTTGCTACATGACCTGCTTTTTAAATCTTAAATTTGTAATGTTGGTTAAAATGGTGAAAATCCTTGAGCAGTAATTTTGCAACTAAGTTTGTGAGAGACTCTTAAAGAGATACTTTTCTGTATTAGATTCTTCAGACTAGCATAAGGATACTGGTTAAATATTGAATTACATTGCTGCATTTGGTAAGGTTTTGCTCCTTGTGAGTATCTTTTATCCAGATGATAAAAAGATAGAAAAAGCTGTTTCTTTGAGAACTTCAGGGTTTTATGTTTAGCTTAGTTCTTGACATACAAGGCTATTTATTTGGGAAGTGAAGGTTTTTATATTTAGGGTTGTTCTGGTCTCTGAAAGTCCCATTTTGGAAAAATGGAAAGAACTCTTAGGGACTATATTTCTTTGTCTGGAATTGCTGTAAGAAATACATGAATATATGTATTTGCTGTGGCTAAGACTAGAAAATACAGTTCTTACAGTTATGGTACCAGTTGCATTAAGAACTTTGATGTTAGTACTTATAGAGAAGAAAATACTTGTGTTACTAAAATGCACCAGGAACCTTAAAAAACCTTCCCCCTTTCCTCTAAACTAGATAATTCTGTTCACCACTCCTTTGCCAGGAAAGCAGGTTTGCCCTATTTGTGGGTGTTTTTTTTTTTTTTTTTAACAAAAAAGAAGTTGTGCCTTCTTAGAGCATCTGTTCTGTGTGTTAACTAGATATTGGAATAAACTCTGTTTAATATCCAAACAGCACTTTTCACTGCTTGAAATCATCTGTTGCTTCAGCAGCTTCTGCTGACTTTTCTAAAAACAAATTATTTCCTGGGATTTCAAAGAATGTGAAAATTTCTGTGAAACTTAACACAGTTAAACAATTACTGGTTTTGTTAATAGATCTTGAAGGAACAGAAGCAGCCTATTAATATTATTTTGTTAGCCCAGACACCTGAATTTGCAGAAGTCCATAACTATAGATAGTGAAGGTCAAGCTTTATCTCAGATGGACATCAAAATACTCAGTTCCCTAGAGGTAATTACATGAGGTGGGCATGTTCTGCCTCGTCTGTTTCCTCCACCTTTTTTATTCTTTGAAGCATACAAATATCAGTAACATTAGTGAATATCAGTGATTGCTTTCACCAGATCCCTTCAGAGAGAATACAAGAGCCTTTGATCTACTTACCTTTGAAGGCTGTGGTCCTTGGACTCCAGACAATGTCAAGAGCTTGGCTTTTTCTTTTAAGCAATGATTTGGCATCCCAACTTATTTTTTCTTTTCTGGAGGAGTTCTACAAGTTTGTCTTTAAGCTTTAGTCTCTGGAAAGTCATGGAGACTTTCATTTGTTGTGCTAGAACACTTGTATATCTTTTTAGGTGGACTTGGTGTAGGATAAATGATACCAAACTTGAAAGCTATACAAAGCTGTGAAAATTTATTTTCTGAGAAAAAGATCGTTGTAATAACTGAAACCCAGCAAACAGGCTTTTCTAGGTTGCATAATTTATTAATTAGCTCTGAACCCAGTAGCACTATGTTAATCAGAAGTGACATGGGATTTGGGTCTCTGTGTGAATTTATTTTTCCTGAAGAGTGAGAGCATGACATAGAATAATTTGGAACTGCTTTTGCTGTGTTTCTGAGAGTTGTGGGAGTAGAAGTTATTTTGGAGGACTGAAACTTTGGAGGCAAATTCTTTCCTCAAGAATGAGTGACCATATACAGCTAAAACAAAAAGAAATCAACCAGGCTGAAACTGAACGATATACATATTTGGAGAACCGATAAAGTAGTCCTTCAGCTGAAAAGTTATGTTGATCTGTAAGAAATAAGCCAAAGTCAGGAAGTGACAATATTGATTGGAAGGTTTTGAATCTGGAATAACTATGAGCCCTTTGTGCTACTTCCAATTCAAGTGAGACGGAAGTGATACAAGAGGCAAAGAAATGAGAGTCAACTGGGTGTTCCACTACTAAGAGTTATGTCAAAGAGTTATGTCAGGTTGAAAGGGATCACAGGAGATCTGTAGTCCAACCTGCTGCTTAAACCAGGATTAGCTGTGAGATTAGGTTTTTCAGGGCTTCTTCAAGTTAGGTCATGAAAACCTCCAAGAACAGAGACGGCACAGCTTCTCTGGGAACCTGTTCCACTGTTTGATTTGCATTAAGGTGGAAAAAGTTTCTCTTTGTCTGAACCTTTTTGGATTTAATTTGTGAGTGTTGTCTCTTGTACTCTAGCCATACATTGCTGTGAGGTGACTGGTTCCATCTCCTTAACAACCTTCTTTTAGATACTGGGAGGGTGGCTGTTACACGCGCTGAAGTTATCTCTTATTCAGCCTCTTCTCCATAGCAAGTTCCCCCAGGTGTTTTATGTACTTCATATGTACTGTGTTGGTGACCCTCCCCTGAGCTCACTCCAACTTTTTTGCTGTATTACAGGGAAAGTACTTGCTTAAGACTGGTCATTATCCTTGGTATGTTGTAATGAGCACCAAGTAAAAGGTGATTAGTCACTTGCTTTGGTCTTCTGGCTATGCTACTAGTAATATAGTCCAGGGTGCTGTTAGCTATCTCTACTTGTATGCCCATGCTGCTGATTTGTGGCTAACTTGCTGTCTACCAAGATTACCAGGTCCTTTTTAAGCATAGCTGTTTGCCAGCCAGTTACCAGGTATACCACTCCAGAGGGCTCCTGCTCCCTAACTACAGATCTTTACACATGTTATTGTTGAATCTCCAAAGGTTCATGGTGTCCCATTCCTCCTCCCTGTGTAGGTTCTAGGGGCTGGCAGCCCTTCCCTCGAGTGCATCAGTTGTGTTGTGTCATGACCCACGCCCACCCAGTTCACTGTTCTTTGCACACATGGTGAGGTTGCACTCTTGGCCTAACCCGGGGTGGGGGATAAAGGTGTTAAACATAGAGATGCCTACAGTATTCCACTTGTTGCCAGCCACTACTGTCTGAGGTTTACCATCAAACCATTTTTATCAGTGTTGTAGTTGATATAGCTTGTCTGAAGTTCTAACTTGGGTATAAAACTTGAGACAGTGCCAAAAGCCTTGCTAAAGCTGAGTTGTATTTAATCTGCTTGCTCTCATTTGTCCAGAGGTCTGGTCATTTTATCGTGGAATATAAGTGGGTTGGCCAGTCATGATTTAGCCTTGGTAAATCCTTCTCAATCACCTTTTTCCTTCTCGTGAGCCCAGAAATTAGTTCCAAGAGGACTGACTTCAGGACCTTCCTGGGACTGAATTGAAGCTAACTTCTTTATAGTTCCTTGGCTTGTACTGTTTCCCTTTCTCTGAATATAGGTGTGACATTTACCTTTCTCCATTTGCTAGGGACCTCACCCAGTCTCTGTGACCTTTCAAAGACGATAACAAGCAGCCTTGCTGTGACACTGACCAGCTTTGTCAGGGCCTTTAGGTGTAGATAAACTGTCCTCTTCAGTTTCTATGTGTTGAGTTCTTACAAGTAATCCCACACTCAGTCCTCACCTCCTGATAGCAGTTGTTCTCCTTGAGCCCATATACTGGTCATAGAGGTTTGGGACACCCTGTCAGGCAGGCCTGAGGCAAAAAAGGCATTGACTGTGGTGACCTTCTGTGTCCACAATTGATAAATCACCTGGTCTGTGTAGAAGCAGGTCTATGTATTCTTTCCTACCTTAATGCAGTGGTAAAATCCCTTCTTGTTATCTTTGCCATCCTTTGCATCAATTCTAGGTGAGATTTTGGCTTTCCTAACACCGTGTATACATACTCAGGCAGTCTTTCTAAATTCTTCCTTGTATTCCTGTCCCTTCTTCTGTCTCCTATATGCTGTTGTTTTGCCTTGTAGTTTTCTCATTAATTGTCTGTTTAGCCATGCCAGGCTATATATGTATTTTTTTTTATATATATATAGAGGGAGAGCCTTTTATATGTATATTTTTAATATGTATATTCTTTATATATAGTTTCCTGAGTACCAGGACAAATGATACATACCAAAACTGTTTGAAATTTTCGGCACAGTCTGCTGGCAGAAAAAGTGAAGTTATGTAATTCTGAAGAGAATATAGTCAAGTATGTGGAAACTTTAGGAGCAGGCTTTGTTCTTGAAATCAGGCTTGATTGTGCAAGATGTGATATGGTCTTTCTGAAGACAGCTACAGAGTTAATTCAAATATGATGAATTCTGTTCACATGTAACCTGGAGGCCACATCTAAATGACCAAATGAACAGCCGAACACAAGCATTGGTGACAGAAAAGAACATAACCACTTCCTGAAAAGCCTTTCTTGTAGAATTATAGAATCATTAAGGTTGGAAAAGACCGCGAAGATCAAGTCCAGCCATCACCCAACACTATCATGACCATTAAATCATGTCCACAAGTGCCACATCTACATGTTTTTTTAACCCATGGATGGTGACTCCACCACCGCCCTGGGCATCCTGTTCCAGTGCCTCACCACTCTTGCAGTAAAGAAATTCTTCCTAATATCCAGTCAAAACCTCCCTTGATGCAACTTGAACCCATTTTCTCCTGTCCTATTGCTAGTAACCTGGGAGAATAGACCAACACCCACCTCACTACAACCTCCTTTCAGGTAGTTTTAGAGAGTGATAAGGTCCTCCTGTTCAGCCTCCTCTCCTCCAGGTTAAACAACCCCAGTTCCCTCAGCCACTCCTTGTAAGACTTGTTCCCCAGACCCTTTGCCAGCTTCTCTGCCCTTCTCTGGACCTGCTCCAGCACCTCAGTGTCCTTCTTATCCTGTGGTGCCCCAAACTGGAATATATAAGTTTCTTCAGCTAAAAAAAAAATCTGCAACTTCAGAAGCCATAAGATAAGTGAACATATTATGTGCCATATCCATTGATTATATTCAAGAACATATAGTGTACCTGACAAAAGTATTTTTCATAAAAATATTCTATTACTGAATCTTTCCAGATTAGAAAGAGAGTGTTTCTCCACGAACAAGAAAATGAATGAGGCGGTTGAGGAAAAGACGAAGATAATTAAAGACCTCTCTGAGAGACTAGGGAATAGTGAAAAAAACTGCAGAGAATTACAGGAGGAACTGGAAGAGGTAAGATGAGAGGCCCGTGGCGCTGAGTGTTGAGAGTTTTTTAAACATACTGTGAACTTAATCTGCATTTTCTGTGCTGAGCTGTGGAGGGATTTGGCCGTTGTGTTACTGTGATTTTACTTATGTTACTTTGTTTTGTAAACATGAGTAAATACAGCTGACAGGAGTTGTGCTAATTAATGAGCAGGAGCAAGAGAACTGCATCAGAGGATCTTCAGGCTCGCTGGTGTCTTCTGTTCAGCTGGAGTTATTCCATACATTGTCTTAGTGTTATTCACTTGCCAGACAGACTGGTAACTAATAAAGGAAGAAATATCAAATCAAACCTCCCTCTTCCTTCTGTGAGAATCACAGCTTCTTCCATGCAGACGCTAACGTATTGAAAGGCCTTTGCTGGTGTAGCTAACCTGGATTTTATCAGGCACAAAAGGAATATGAAGAGACAGAAGCAACGGTCTCCCCTAGCTACAGTCAGTAGTGATTGCTATTTATTAATATAAAAGACAATTCCAAGCTGAAAAATTTCTGAGGAACCTTGAGCGCTTGCTAGCTGTCATTGTGATTTGAGTTTCTGTGTTTGTTTTGCGTTCCATAGTAAAATGTGTGTTACACCCAGCAAGAATTCTGGACAAAATTCTGTCCATGATCAAGGTTTCTAGTAATGGGAACCATGTTAAATGTTGTACTCAAAATTAATATTATCGAAAGTTAAAAACCAGAATAGATTGTCTCAGTTAAAAGAACTGTTGTATTATAGAGCCAGTTGTTTTAATTGCTTTACTGGAAGGATTTCAAACCACAAGACTGACTTGAACAGGTAATAAAAATACTCATTTTCTGAGAGGTTGTATTAGTGGACCCCTATGGGACTAGATTTTTATCACCTTGGATGGCTTTGTATTTTTCCTGAAGACTCTTATATTTATAT